CTTCCTTCTCTACGGTAAGTGGTTTATCTTTTTATATCTTTCCAGGATTAAATATTATAAATTGGCGTTGAAAAGCAAAAGTAAGAAAATTTTTAAATACATATGTACTACAAATGTATCACAAATTTAAATTAAAAATGAAAAAGAAAATTCTTTTACAAACGTAAATATATTAATGAATTATGGTATATTTAGAAATAATCTATCTAATAAAAAAAGAGTGCATTTTTTATTAACAATTTATTTACAATTTTGAAATATATATTTATTCTTGCTATACGTCAATTTCTTCGCAATCTTTCCTAGCTTACCCATGCATCCGTGGTCCTATGGCTTAACACTAGAACACTAGAACTATCAAAGCGGTCAAAATGACCGGTTTATTCATTTTAGAATAATTATTTAAATTTATAATGTATTTTTTGAGATTTTTTTTTGTTACTTGTGTTGCATTGTGTTAAATAATTAAATTGATTAATGTACCTTTTCTCTTTATCACCTTTTAAAAAGAAAGAAAAAAGAAATAAAAATTGGTATATGTTAATCGTCGGTAGTTCTAGTGTTGATCCCATGGTTGAGCGCGGAAATTCGAAATTCGTGGTCCCGTCGATGATGGTCGAGCACAGATCTCGAAACAACGTTGATACGATTGATCATTGAATAATGATCGACTATCAACAAAAATTTCGGACGCAACTAGCGGAAACTGAGCTGAGCTCTGCGCTAGCGTCCTGTGAGAAACACCAAGGTAGTAGCTCTCAGATTTTGGATGCAAATAGCGGTAACTGAGCCGAGCTCTGCGCAAAAGCATCCTGCGGAAAACTCCCTCCCGAAATTCAGATGCAAATGGCGGTAACTGAGCCGAGCTCTGCGCTAAAGCATCCTGCGAAAAACTCCTTCTCGAAATTCAGATACAAATGGCGGTAACTGAGTCGAGCTTTGCGCTAAAGCATTCTGCGAAAAACTCCCTCCCGAATTTCAGATGCAAATGGCGGTAACTGAGCCGAGCTCTGCGCTAAAGCATCCTGCGGAAAATTTTTTGTACGAACTCTTAGGTATAGAATTTCTAATTAGGTAGGATTTTGTACTAGATAATGTTTTTGGGTAGGTAGGTAGGATTTTAAAACTTCTTATCACTTCTATATTGTCTTTTTTTTTAATTCTTTGCTGTCGATAAACTTTGGAACTTCTGCTTTGGCAGTTAGTTTGTAGTTTATTGATGACAAAAATAATGATAAAACTTCGGGTGGGCAAACAGCAAGATTCTCTTTCAAAAAACGAAAGATGTTTCTTGCGTAAATTATGAAAAAGTTTGAACGTTTAGACGTTTAAATGTTTAGATTAATAAATTTCACTAATAAAATATTACTACTTTTTGAATTATAAGAGATACTTTCGATTATAAATAAAAAATCGTATTGTTCAGCTCTTTTTAACTAAAGTATTTTGCATTATACATAAAACTTTTGAACGTTTAAATGATTTTATTGACATATTGGCATATTATTTTCATTTTGTATTATTGTTCATTTTGTATTATCTTGTATATTATTTCGATGGAATACAGGATAATATATTAAGAAAAATTGTAATAAGCTAAATGTCCCAATGGCTGGATATGTCTCAATCTCCGAAAATATATGAACAAAATAATTTTTTAATATTTATAAATATAATGTCCGGAAACTGTGGTAAATTTACATATCCAATTATTTTTGCAAATATTTAATATTGTCGTTTAATAAATGCAAATTTTGGTTTTAAATTTCCGCGAAGTAAATTTTAATTTTTATTATATAATATTAAAAATATTATTTTCATAGAAAACATCACATCTTTAATAATAATTAATTCTTAAATATATTGCCACTGGAACATTTCTCTTAAATATTGTAAACTTGTAAAATCTTTTTCTCATTTGTACAAAATATTGTATTAATATATTGTATATTATATTGTATATTATATATTATATTATATAATTGTACATTGTATTACATATATATGTATGTATATCACATTGTTGCATCTGTATGCAGCATTGTTGTATATATTTCTTCTTCATTGTATATGTTTTCTGAATTTAATATTATTTATTGTATACTATTATTATATTGTATTTGGTTTTATTAAAATCTTTTCTCGACAAACAATGTATTTTATTTTACAACATTCTTTAAATCCTCTTTCCATTGAAAGAAAGAAAATGATTGTACCAGAGAGAAACCTGAGAGGGGTCACGCTGCCGTTTTTCGTAAGACGCTTTTTCTAGGCAGTACACTAGCGGCGCGTACATCCATTTTACAGCCTGCCTGGAACTACATGGCCACATCTATTTTCCGGGATGATAAAAGAGCCCTGATTAGTTCATGTCCGTGTTACATCCATTTTCCGGGATGGTAAGAGTCATGGTTGGTTCATGTCCGTGTTACATCCACAATTTATTGAACAGAAATACGTCTCGCATATAGATATAATTTATATAGATACAATTTATAACATATAGATATAATTTACATCTATATGCAAGATATATTTCTGTTCAATAAATTGTGGATGTAACATGGACATGAACCAACCAGGGCTCTTTTACCATCCCGGAAAATGGATGTGGTCATGTAGTTCCAGGCAGGCTGTAAAATGGATGTACGCGCCGCTAGTGTACAGCCTAGAAAAAGCATCTTATGAAAAACGGCAGCGTGGCCCCTCTCAGGCTTCTCTCTGGTTATATTATGTTAGATTAGATATTTCGGCCAGAGTGGCCAATTTTGAGACGCAGAACAAGAAGCATGAATGAAGGGAGTTACCGCACCTATGCACAAGCCATCTAAAGGCTATTACACGTAAAAATATTTTAGTCACCGTAAGAAGTAAGCAAATTGACCAATCACAGTGAGCAATAATGCGAGT